TAGGTCTGCCCACACACAGGTGACCAATGGGTTTGTAGTCATATCAGGCAGGTGGCCAATGGAGTTACAGTCTGTCTTATAAAACTTAGCTGTTTAAACTTATAAAACTTAGCTGTTTAAACTTATAAAACTTAGCTGTTTAAAACTAACCTATCATTTTGGTTTGAATTGGTGCGAGAATTTGGTGGGCAAAAGGTGAGGCTTACATTTTGGCAGGCAAAAGCATATTTCCTGACCCTGAGGTATTTGTGGGAAACTGGTATTTTGATTCTCAGGGGCAGGGCAAACTCCTAGTGCATTAAAGATGGAGTCAGTTTTGGGTCCCCTTAACACTAGGAGACCCTTCCCCTCTACACTTGTGGGCCATTCAGGGTCACAGTTTCAGCTTCTGAGTCTGTGCTGTGTTCCTGGCCTGTCAGCTGTCCACTTCCCCAATAAATTCATCTTTTTGCACGAGGCTGTCTCTGATTGGTAGACTCTCCTCCCTGCAGCATCCGAATGTTAGACGAATTTAAGGGAAGCTTTGACATAGAATTAACAAAGTAATTCTACAAAAGTGGATGAAAAAAAAAAGAGAAAAAGAGAATAAATTCTACCTGAAAGATGCCCCTTCTCTCTGACCTGAATGCAATTCCCCTCAATGCAATTCTGAGCTATGGAATGTCCTCTTCACTAAAATAAGGCCAAGTAAGTTCATCTTTGCATATCTTTATATTAATGATTTATAGAATGAAATATGGATACTGGAGCTAAGTAATGCCATCTTGTCCTCATCACCATCTTGGCATCTTAACATGCTGGGGAATTTTTAGCCAGTTCTTTGAACTACAGAGGACTTCTTTGAACTATGGCTGTTATGAGTTGTTAAGCATTATAAAAGTGATTCTTTGAATTGCAGATGCATCATGGGTTGGTTGTTTAGCTCCAGAAAAGTTTTGCTCCAGAGAATAACTTGCCCCTGGTTGTCCTTGATTGTTCCAAGGCACAGCTAACTGTGCCTTGATTGCCCCAGATTGTTTCCCCCATTGCTTTGCTTCAGTAGAACACACTTTGCTAGTCCCCATACCATGTGATGTCTGCCTGGGAGTGTTTTTTTACTTTTAATAAGCTTTGTGTTATTACAAAGCACATGGGGCTGTGGGTTCTCTGGGACATGAGTCCACTTGCAGTTAGTTACTTTCTAATAAAGACTCCCTTTACAGGACTGTGTAGTATTCCAGCTTCCCAGGACCAGTGGGACTTGAACCCACATCAACGAAAGGAGTCACCAGCACTCAATCAAACTGGCTGCAAGCCTTTCTATTAGCCACATGGCATCTGTCCCTAGCCCACAGAACTGGAGAACAGCCCTCTTTGCTTTTCATGGGGATTTTTATAGGAAGGGGTTACAAGTAGGTGATGTTTACCAAAGCAAACAAGCAAGGTTACAGAAGCAAAACTTAGCCTTGAGTCACAAGAGCATAGGCAAAACCTAATTTTGACTTAGCATGATCAATACTATCAATGCTATTGACATAACAAAAAGTCAAAACATTTTGCAAGATTAAATGAAAGATTATTAGACTTTGCCAGAGAACCACATAGATAGCCAAGTACATTTATTTCTGGGAAAAGAGGCTGGCAAGGCTCCTTCTCACAAGAGAGAAGTGAGAAGCAGCACTGGCTACTGTCTGAGGTGACCTATATAACCTAGGGGGGAGGGGGTTAGAAGGGACTAGAAGAGACTAGAAGGCAAAGACCCTGGTGTGGACATGTGGGCCAGGGGCTTCATCATGGCAGACTAGGATGTACGGCTGCTGTCCAAATAGTAGATAAGGGTCCTGCAGCTGCCCAGACCTGAAGGTCACTCTAAGGGGCTCCTGTTGTCTTATATGGTGGTAGCTGCCCCAGAGAAGTGCCATCCCAAGGTAAAGGGGGTTGGAAGTTGATTATTTACTGCATTTATTACTTGGGTCTAGTGTTGCCTAGGAAGGGAGCATGCTAAGCTGTGGAGAAGGGAAGGAGTGGACTAAGCTATGGGAAGGGAACTCATTTTGCTAACACATACCTTTGGCTTACAACAGTCAAACATAACTTTGGGAAGGGGTAGTATATTTTAAATCTCAAAACATTAGAAACTTGTTCCATGGTTCTCAAAACATTAGAAACTCATTCCCATGGTTGGGGGTGCACTGAAATTTTCTTTGCAGAAATGATTTTTGTTATGAAGTAAGGTGGTCAGGTCTGGCCAGTGCCATATTTGTCACATGGTGGATTGTAGGGTCTGGCATCTTGTCTTCATCATGGGGGCAGGAAAAGCCCCTGCCGATCACCTGCCTCCCAGGTGAGGACCCCTGGAGGCAGGGGTGGGCACTTGGCTGATTGGTTACTGAATCTGTCAGTCCACTGCCTGGGACTGGGAACTTCCTGAGGATCTGCTCACCCTATGCCATCCCTATTTAGACCTGGACCAGTCCAGCTGCCAGGACACCATGCCACGTGTGTCTCTGTGACCATGTCCTATGTCTTGTCTCCTGGCTGTCTCCAGTTATCATGGCATCCCAATTCAGCTCTCCATTGGAGCTGAATTGGTTTTTTGGTATTGTTCTTGTTATTTCTTCCTCTTTAGCATGTTTCCTAGCTGTGTTTTGTGTATTTGCCTGCTGCAGGCCTTTGTAACAACTGGCGGTCTGTGAAAAACCTAAGCAATTCCATTTTACTTAAGACCCCATCTCAGTTCTGAGACTTAACTTGTGGCCCACTTTAGCCCCAATGCTAGGAATTTATGACAGAAAGCCATACACAATTCTTGGAGCCATAGATGGTTTTTGCTTAAGGCAGGTGTTAGCCCCCAAGTGACTTTGCCCCTGAGTGACCATGAGCTAAGAGTTTCAGTTAAAACCATATAATGTTCCGACCAACCAGTTCTTCAGAGCCCAGGGCGAAACATGCCATGCATACTGTTGGTCCAGGTGTGACTCGTAACCGTTTGTGGTCAAGCTATGGACCAAGGATATTTTCCTGTAAAGGTCAACCAATCATATTTGCCCAGCTTATCTTGCTTTAAATGCTAACCAATCATGTAATTTCTTATGTAAAACTTCCTTAAAGTTGTTTGTTCAATACTATAAAAACTGTGCTGATTTTTTGCTCGGGGCCTCTTAGCGTCACAGGTTGCGGAGTGCGCCAAGGACCAAGCTCAAGCTTGCAATAAACGACTCTTTGCTGTTTGCATTGATCGTGGTCTCTGGTGGTCTGTGAGGGGGCATCCGAAAACGGGATACTTCAGTCTGCAGCCTGTTCACTGTATAATAAAGACTCCAATATTCTGTATTTTAAAATGTAACTTCTGGGATGATTTGCCTTACGACAGTTGTTGTTGGTCCTGGGCCTGAACTCTGGGCCTGGGTGCTGTCTCTCAGCTCTTCAGCTCAAGGCTAGCGCTCAACCACTAGAACCACAGCGCCACTTCCGGCTTTTTCTGCTTATGTGGTGCTGAGAAATCACACCCAGGGCCTCAAGCATGCAAGGCACCCTACCACTGAGCCACCCTCCCAGCTCCCGAAATGATTTTTATTATAAGCTCCTGACTAATACAGCAACTCAGTACAGCTGGTGATAAGCCTCAAGGTTGTCAGTGGCCTTCAGCAAAGTTTGTGGTAAACTGCAAAGTTGTCAGCCTGAGAAACTTGAGAGAGGGAGAGATGTTTGCTTTTTTATTTTTATTTTATTTTTGGTTGTGGGTTTTGAACTCTGGGCCTGAGCACTGTCCCTCAGTTCTTCAGCTCAAGGCCAGCGCTCTACCACTTGACCCACAGTACCACTTCTTTTCTGATTGTTTACTGGAGTGAAAAGTCTCACAGACTCTCCTGCCTGGGCTGGCTTTGAAATGTGATCCTCAGATCTCAGCCTTGTGAGTAGCTAGGATTATAAGTGTGAGCCACCAGCCCTTGGCTTGATGTTTCTGATTTCACATTTTTGTTCCCATGGATATTCTTTTTCAAGGGAAAGGGGCTCAGGGGAGAGGGTAAGTTTCCTGCAGGAGGGACTGAGGCTAGAAAATGGAAGGAACTTTCTGACAGTGAATAGTAACTCAGGTACCTTGAATTTTTGGTGGGAATTATTACAGTCTGCCCTGGAACCTGCCCTCCCTACCTCCTGCATAAATCTCCTCCCAGTACTTGCTTTACCTAGGTAATTGGCACACCTGGAAACAGTCACTCCTGCCCCCTCCTCCATGGTCACATCCTTGGCCAACCCGCCACCCCCTCACAACTCCCATCGGACCTGGGGAGGGTCCCAGGACCTGAGGTCACATCTGGATCCAGTGTGAATCCTTTGCCCCATTGGGCCTGCTGACGGGTTGCCCTTTGGCCTTGTGCTCTTCATGATACACGGCAGGGCAGCCCGAATATCATCTGGTGTGCTCTCCATCAACTACTTAATTAGACCTGTTTACCTTACACTCACAATTCCATCTCTTAAAGCTTAACTTCTTTGTCTCCCTGATTCAGTTCCCATAGAACATCATACTCGAGAACTAAACCAGTAAAGGGCAGTCACTCTGGGAGCCTCTAAACACGCTCGGTATGAAAGCACAGGGATCCATACTCCCAGCGAGCCTGCCTGTGCACTGCCAGGAGCCGGGCCCAGCCACCAGCGCATCGCTGCAGCAGGAGCGACACCAATTATGTTCTGTGGTAAGACCTTGACCTCTCAGTGGCCCTTTGTCCTATGACCTTGACCTCTCGGCGGTCCCTGGACACCACAGAACTCTCCGAGGCTGCTGTGCCACTGGAACTCTGGAGAAACTTCCCTGAACCCCCAGCGCAGGAAGAACTACAACTCCCATGGTGCTTCGCGATGGCTTAAGGCTCATCGATCTTTTCTCACAACTCCTTCAGCATAGCCCTCCATAGGTCGGTCCCGGAAGCCTCGACGCTCCCCCGCCCGGGACGCCCTGGTCACCGGGCTCTGCGTGACGTCACCAGGACCTACGCCTCGCGCGGGAGACGGCAGTTGGCCGATGGTCCCTGGCTGGGGTGGCGGTGGCTCTGAGACTTGAGGAAGAGGCCTGCGAGAGAGGCGGGCCGCGATGCCTTCCCAGCGGCGGGTCAGTCAGCTCCTGGAACTGTGAGTGCACCCGCCCCGCCTCCCCTCCGGGCAGCCGGGCCGCGCTGCCCTCCCCTCCCCACCGAGGCCCGTTCGTGCTGAGGGTCTCCTAGCCGAGGACCGTTGTGCAGCGGGGGTCTGCGGGGCGGGCCTCCCCCCGGCGAGCATCCCCGGCCTCCGTCAGTCTCAGTCTCCAGATGCCTCTCCAAAACCGCCAGTAAAACTCTGCCCAGTAGCCGCAAGTGGGGGGGGGGGTGACAGGAAACCGGGGACCCCGGGGAGTAGGGGTTTGAGAACGGCGGTGCTGGCTGGGTGCCGTTGGCGCATGCGCGGGGCCCCTCCGGCCGGTGTCCGGGCCTCGCGCCCCGCGGGCCTTGGCAGTACCCATCTCGGGGACACCAGGGAGGGGTGGGCCGGACACCTCGGGACGGCACCGGAAGCCTGCCCTGCAAGTGGAAACACCACGACGTTTCACACAGAAACTGCAGTTACCATGGCAATGGCATCGGGAGCCTCGAGTCCATTAGGAGTTGCCACGGTTGAAGGCGAAGGCGAACAATCTAGTTGATCTGCACGAGGCCCTCTGAACTATGAGATTTGGCTTGTCATCCCCTAAGCTCTTGGCCCTGAGGCAGCAGTCACTGTCCATACAAGAGAAATCCTCGATTCTCCCGTGGGAGAATTTGGAACTCAGTAGAGACCTGAGGGAAATAACTGGCATTATTGTTGTTTTACTTTTTCCCCTCCCATCCCTCTTTCTTTTTCTTCCTCCCTCCCTTTTTTCCTTCCTCCCTCCTTCCCTCTCTCCCTCCCTCCCTTTCTCCCTCTTTCTTTCTTTCTTTCTTTCTTCCTTTCTTTGTCGGTCATGGGGTTTGAACATTGGGCTTGGGTGCTGTCCCTCAGCTCTTCACTCAAGGCAAGCGCTCTGCCACTTGAGCCACAACAGCACCACTTCCAGTTTTCTAGTGGTTTATTGAAGATAAGAGTCTCATGGCCTTTCCTGCCCAAACTGGCTTTGAACTGTGATCCTCAGATTTCAGCCTGGCTTGCTTGCTTGCTTGATTCCTTCCTTCCTCCCTCCCTCTCTCTCTTTCTTGTCATGGGACTTGAACTCAGGGCCTGGGTGCTATACCTGAGCTATTTTGCTCAAGGCTAGCCCTTGAGCACTTGCATTAATCAGAGAAGAGTCTCTTGGGACTTTTCTGCCTGGACTGGCTTCAAACCCTGATCCTCAGATCTCAGCCTCCTCAGTAGCTAGGATTACAGCTGTGAGCCAAGATTCTCTCTCTTTTTTATTTTGGTCAGTCATGGGGCTTGAACTCTGGGCTTGGCGCTGTCCCTCAGCTCTTCAGCTCAAGGTGAGTGCTCTACCATTTGAGCTACAGCACCACTTCCAGTTTTTCTAGTTGTTTATTGGAGATAAGACTCTCAAGGACTTCCCTGCTCAGGCTGGCTTGAAACCACAATCCTCAGATCTCAGCGTCCTGGGTAGCTAGGATTACAGGCGTGAGCCACTGGCACCCGGCTCTTTTTTGCTGACCCTGGGGCTTGAACTTAGCCTGCATGGTGTGGTGTCCCTGAGCCTCTTTGTGCTCAAGGCTAGGACTCAACTACATGAGTCACAGTGCCACTTCCAGCTTTTATTGAGTAGTTTATTGGAGATAAGTATCTAATGGACTTTCTCATCAAGGCTTGTTAAGAACTGGGATCTCAAATCTTAGCCTCCTGAGTAGCTAGGATTATAGGTATGAGCCACCACCCCCAGCCTTTTCTTCCTTCCTCTCATTCTTTCTTTTGTGTGTGTGTGTGTGTGCATGTGTGCGCACACGCGCATGTGCATGTATACCAGTATGCCAGTACTGGAGTTTGAACTCAGGGCCTTATGCTCAATACTCACTGAAGATTGGCTCTCTACCACTTAAGCCCTAGCTCCACTTAAGCATTTTGCTGGTTAACTGAAGATGAGTCTCACAGACTTTCCTGTCTGGGCCTCAGATCTCAGCATCCTGAGTAGTTAGGATTACAAGGTCTGAAGCACCAGTGCCCAGTTGCATTAGTTATTGGTGAGTTTTACATCAGATCCAAATGGGATTTTATTTCCATCCATAATGATAAGAATGGAAAGTATGAAGATAGACTACCATAGATCTATTCATACATTTAATACATACTAGTTCTACAATCATGAGCAAATCTGTCTGGGCTTCAGTGATAGAGTCTAGAAATGGAAAATATCATCAAGCTGTCCTGAAGATCAGAAGCCAGTACAGTAAAATCCATAGAGCATTTATTTTCATTATTTATTTATTTATTTTGTATGTGGATGTCAGTAATGGAGCTTGAACTCAGGGCTTTCTGTTTTCACTGGGCTTATTCACTAAAGGCTAGTGCTCTACCACTTAAATCACATCTCCACTTCTGGCTTTTTGCTGCTGTTGTACATGGACTCAGGACCCCCAAAAGACCATCAGAGACAACGACCAATGCAAACAGCAAAAGAGTCGTTTATTTGCAAGCTTGAGCTTGGTGCTCTGCGCACTCAGTAACTGGTGACGCTAAGAGACCCCGAGCACAAAATCAGCACAGCTTTTATAGTATTGAACAAACAAGTTTAGAAAATTTCCACACAAGCAGTTACATGATTGGTTAACATTTATAAAGATTGCATAGTCATTTTTTTATTGGCCCATGTACTGAGGTTTGAGTCCACCCTAACCGCACTGCCCTTTTTCTGAACTATTGGTCCACGTTTGACGGTTTGATAGTTGCAAAACCGTTATGTTCTGTTCCTGGAACACTTGGGCAATTGTTCTGTTTCTTAAGGGTGGGCAGGGTTGATGGCAACCTGCGGTTTATCCGAGAGTTGCTTTTTTTTCCTCTCTCGGGGTTACTCTGAGGGCAGCCTAGTACAAGATGGTGGGGTTAATCTCAAAATGGAGTTACTTTGGCCCTTCACTGGTAAATTGGAGTGAATTTCATGGACTTTACTACCCAGGCTAGCTTTGAGCCTCAGTCCCCAGATCTCAGAATTGTGAATAACTAGGATTATAGGTATAAGCCACTGGTGTCTAGCTGCTGCTGCTGTTGTTCTTCTTCTTCTTATTATTATTGTTATTGAGACAGGGTTTTCCTATATGTAGGCTGGCCTCAAATCTGTTATCCTCCAGTCAGGTGCTAGGATTACATGTGTGTACCACCATACCTGACATGTGAGCATAAATTTAAAAAACACACGTGCTTTGTGTGGCTCTTTGCCACAGATTGTGTGAAATCAAGTGTTAGGAGAGATCAAGCGGATGAAAGGAAAGAAGGCAGAAACCTCAACAAATCAGAACAGGCTTTAATCATTGCTGCAGAAGGACTCCAAGTAACAGTGAGCCAGGTGGGAGAAATGAGTGGAGAACCTAGGGTTAGAACAGGCTACAAGTACAGTTGAGGAATGAGCGTTCCTTGGAATGTGGTTGTGGTAAACTGCTCTGTTTGGGATGTAGGGTATCCTTCTGGTGCCAAGGGTAGCACACTTTCAGGATGGTATTAGCCAATAAGATTTCAGAGAGGAGAATTCTGGGAAAGTTGGGGGTGGTGGGGGGGGGGAGGCAAGGCAAGGAGGGTCAGTGGGCCATGCCAGGGGAGCAACAGAGCGGATTTCCATCATCATGCATAGTGAGGTGCGATCTGATGAGACTAGTACAAGTTTATAAATAACTATAGTTAATTATAGTGATCTGGGCGAGGGGGCTCACACCTGTAATACTAGTTACTCAGGAGGCTGAGAGCTGTGATATCTAGTTTGAAAACAGCCCAGGCAGGTAAATCTGTGATACTCTTTATCTCCAATTAACCAGTCAAAAGCCCGAAGTGAAAATGGGGCTTAAATAGTACAACATTAACCTTGAGTGAAAAAGCCAAGTTGGGGTGGGAGGCCCTGAGTTCAAAGCCTGGTACTGGCACAAAATAAATAATTAACTAAAAACAAAATAAAGAAATAACGGTAATGGTAGCTCCTTTGTATACCTTAATAATAACACTAATTTTTCCCCCTCCATTGTGGGGTCTGAACTCTGGGCCTGGACACTGCCCCTCAGCTCTTCAGCTCAAGGCTAGCATTGTACCACTTGAGCCACAGTGCCACTTCTGGCTTTTTCTGCTTGTGTGGTGCTAGGGAATCGAACCCAGGACCTCATACATGCAAGGCAAGCACTCTACCACAGAGCCACCTTCCCAGTCCAATAAAAATAATTTTAAAAAGAAAAGAAAAAAATGGTACTTGAGGGCAGAACAGTACCAGGAAATAGGGATGAGCAGAGTATTTTTGAAATTTCTGATGAAAAAAAGAACATTTAAGCCAGGAGACAGCTCTATAAAGGAAATAATATCTGCAGGTTGATAGATAGTATCAGGCAGGAGGGCAGGGTTGGACCCAGCTGCCAGCCACAAGGAACTTCCACAAGAACTTTCTGACCCCTGTTCCGCTTCTATCCTTGGCCCACATCCTTGTTACAACACCCTCATTTACATTCTGTGCTTCTGATGGTTTTGCGAACTCCTAGCCATGTGGCTTCACCTTAATGCTGCAGAAATCACTAACTGGGTAAGCAGAGGATCTTATTCACATATGAGTAAGGTGGCAGTATTTTTTGGCTTTGTTTTTGTTCGTTTTTGTGCTGGCCTTGGGACTTGAACTTAGGGCCTGAGCTTTTTTGCTCAAGGCTAGGGCACTACCACTTGAATTTCAGCTCCATTTCCAGTCTTTTTGGTGATTAATTGGAGATAAGTCTCATAGACTTTCCTACCTGGGGTGGCTTTGAACTGCCATTCTCAGATCTCAGCCTTCTGAATAGCTAGGGTACAGGCACAAGCCACCAGCTCCCGGCTAAGGTACCTTACAAATCACCATCTTTTTTTTGTTGTTGTTGTTGTCCAGTTGTGGGGCTTGAATGCTGGGCCTGAGCACTGTCCCTCAGTTTCTCCAACTCAAGGGTAGAGCTCTACCACTGGATTCACAGCATCACTTCCAGTTT